CCTCCCCCCTCCCCAGACCAAGTCAGAGCCATGGTCAAGGAATTGCGGCAGGGGTACGTGAGGACCCGTGAGCACAGCTCCTGCACTGGGGAAGCACCGCAGCACTGTGCATACTATGAGGAACTGGACCAAGTCCTGGGGATTGGGGAATCCTGTCTCCAGGGATAGTTGTGGAGTCTGGGATGGAGACACCTGAGCAGCAGCGGCAGCAGCTTCAGGATGACAACACTGATGACCTGCAGCACCAGGGGACGCAGGAGGACTCCCAAACGTCTTCAGACAGCGGGGAGAGAACATCAGGTGGGTGCTGGGAGGTTGCAACACCCAGGACATGTCGACACTTGCAGTCTCCTTCAGGAGAGGGATGGAAATGGAGTGTCACGTTGCTGAATTGGAGGGAAGCAGCCAGATCGCTGCTGCACCCCTAGGTGGGGGTGTTGGCCCCAGAAATTGGTGTGGGGGGAGCCATGTGGGGTATTAAATGGGAGATTGTTGTTTGTTGATCTTATGTACGCTATTTATGTGAGTGTATAATGTCTGTGTGTGTAGGTAGGAATCTGTAATCTGTGTGGAAGCTGAATATTTCTGTGAATGTGGTTGAGCATTGCTATGGACAGGCTGAGTAGTGAAGCCCTGTGGAACAATGGCCCTTGATGGCCCAAAGACACACCTAAGTACACAGTCAACCTGTGGAACTCCTTGCCAGAGAATGCGGTGAAGGCTAGAACTTTGGCAGAGTTCAAGGAAGATCTAGATAGGTTCATGGAGCTTAGGTCCATCTATCGCTATTGGCCAGGCTGGGTAGGAATGGTGTCCCTGGCCTCTGTTTCTCTGGAGGTGGGTGACAGGGGAGGGATCACATGAGGATTATCTGTTGTGATCCCTCCCTCTGGGGCATCTGGTATTGGCCACTGTTGGCAGACAGGATACTGGGCTAAATGGGACCTTTGGTCTGACGCAGTCTGGCTGTTCTTGTGTTCTTACAAACTCCACTCCATCCCAGCCATCATTTTCAGAAAACATAGCAACTTTTAAACACCTTCTCTTCAGCAACTCAGAAACCTCCCAGAGTTCTAGTCTAAGTGCAGGGTATCAAACAGAAATCTTCCCAGAATCCTGAGAACCTACTGCAACAAGGAAGCCTGAGGAAGAGGAATTGTCTTGTGTGCAGCTTCTCCATCCATCTGCCCCTCCCAGGAGCAAAGAAAATGGGCCACTTACCTGCATGATGCGCACATTATCAGCTCGGTGGATCTCACTTTCCTTCACCACCTTCTTCTTCAGTGTTGCCAGGTTCCTCTCCAGATGCTCTCTCTGCCGGGTGTACTCCTGCTGCAAATCTGTGTCAACCCCCACAATCTCTACCTGATGGAAGACAATACACAGGTTCAGAAGGTGTGATGACAGAGATGCTCTCATCTTCCATTAGTAGAAAGGGCCCTAACTTACCATGTCTGCCTGCTGCACGTACTTGTTGTAGAGTTCCCGAACCCTCTCCTTCAATTTTTTGGGGTCCTGGATGAAGCCCACGCAGTTATGAAGATCTGTTTTAAAACGCTTGACAAGAGCTTCCATGTCTCGCTCCTGCAACAATTATACATAAACAACAATTCAGAGCACACTGTCATACACGAGAATCTCCTGGAAGCTCTAGTCTGAATTGCTGAGAATTCTCATGTGTTTGTATTTAAATGTTTTTGTTTTTAAGAATGTGCTATGTAAACATCTCCGAGTTGCAGAGCAAACTTTTCTGGCTTTTGATGGCCATCACCCCAAAGACAGTAACAAATCTTGCTGATGACCAACACCTCTCCTTACTCGATGAGAATTTCATTATTACTTGCACTGCACTAGTGCCTAGAGGTCCTGTTCAGGTTCAGGTTCAGGTTCAGGTTCAGGACACTGCACAACCCCAAAGGCAGGTGCAACTCCTGTCCAAAGAGCTTGCAGTGTCACTAGAATCAAGACGCAACAAGTAAATATAAGAGGTGACAGAACAGAAAAACAGGTGCAGATGGTAGCTATGTGCTCAACTGGATAGCTTTCCTTATTCTCCCTGGAACAAAGTTTTTTATACCTTGCCTGCTTCCTTAGCTATTAAATTACTTCATTCCCACTTCCAAACCTCTTGCTCCTTCCTTTATGACTTCTCATACACCTCTGACATAATTCCTTCAACTCCAGGTATTCCCGGATCTCCATGCACAAGTTCGTCTCTACCTTTCCTGACTAATTAGTGCATGTCATTGTGGAGCCAAGCTGGTGCTCTTGGGAGGGAACCGGTTGCTTAAGCTAGGGATGTAAGCCACTAGTCGACTATCTGATAAGCAAATGCTTATCGGATAGCTGACTAGTGACTCAACTAGTCGCTTTCTCCATCCCCTCCTCCCCCTGCTGTCTCTATCAGAGGCAGCAAGGGGGGAGCAGGATCTGGTGCTAGGGGGAGCTGGCTTAAAAGCCAGTTCTCCCCAGCACTGTCTCTGTGGGGAGAAGGGGCAAGGACGCAGCAGGGAACTGGCAGCGTTTCTGCCTTTGAAATGTAGGAAGAACAGGGCTCTTGCTACATTTCAAAAGCAGAAGTGCTACGGGGAGCCTGGGGCAAGCTGAGGACTCAAACAGTCCCCCGCTGGCCCCGTGCTCCCTGCTCTTGTACATTTCAAAAGCAAAGCACTGGTGGGAGCGTGGGGCCAGTGGGGGAGCACAGGGCCTCCTGGGCTCTTGTTCATTTCCAAAGCAGGGTGTGCCGGGCCAGCAGAGGACTCTTTGAGTCCCCCGCTGGCCATACTCTCCGCAGTGCTTCCGCCTTTGAAATTCAGCAAGAGCTGGCTACATTTCAAAGGTGAAGGTGCCCTAATTGACTAATCAAATAGTTGATGCAAATTACCTTGACTATTCAATTAATCTAAATTTAACATCCTTAGCTGAAGCCATGTATTCCTAAATTCTCTGCCTTGGGCATGGCAAAGAGGTTCACTTAGCTCTTTCCCCAAGTATTCTATGAAGCGTCAGTGAACACACAGACCTTGTAACATATCCAGAAGGACAATGAACAGAGGTTCTATTAGACCAAATTGGAGTTTCAGTACTAGAGCTTCAGTACTATCTACCTCTCTCTAATATCCAACTCTCTCACAAGCCTTTATACTTGGAATACTTTTGTCTCTGATGCTTCCTGTTAGAGCCTCTCTTCCCCTTCACATGTGCACAGTACCTAAGAAGGAAAACTCTGCCCTCAAACCCATGCATCTTTACTATTCACATTCCTGACAGCTTGCCTAGTGTATTGCTTGAGATCTCTGCCATCAAGGTTGTGTGCCATACCTTCTGCTGCTCCTTGTGCATCTCACGGTCAGTGGCCTTGAGCTTCTGTCGCAACTCTGTGATGTTCAGTTCGAGCTGCATGTTCTGCTTGTGAAAACGTTCCAATTCTCCTTCCATCTGCAAGGAAGCATAAGAAGTTGACTGGGACTATGAAAGAGATACGAGCAACATAGATTATAAAGCCAAAGGGACCTATAACACAGGCATAGAATGTCTCCAAAATAATTCCTACAGCATATCTTTTAGACAAACATCTAATATTGATTTTAAAATTACCATTGATGGATAATCTATCATGAGTCTTGGTAAGTGGTTCCAATGATCAATTACCCTGTCAAAAATGTAAGCCTTATTTACCAGCCTGAATTTGCCTACCTCCAAATTGCAGCGATTGGATTGTGTCACACCTTTCTCTGCTAGATTCAAGAGCCCATTAATAAATATTTGTTGCCCCGCATGTTAGGGTGTGCAAGGGAAGAGAGATTTTTAGACCAGAGGTGGGAAAAGTACAGTCAACAGGCTGGATCCGGCCCACCAGACATTTGGATCGGACCCGCCATGTCCCAGTGGGACGCTCAGTCAGGCTTCTATGGCAGCGCTTTAATGTCAGCTGTGTATGGACCAGTACCAGTAGCTGATTCTTATCAGAGCACAAGGCTGGCCCATTTTCATCTCTGCAGGCTGCTTGCCACAGTGCTGCTGGGATGACCATCTGTGCCTCTGATTAAAATAGTTAAATAGCATATTTTCACTGTGCGCTCAGAGTGAATTTTTAAAAATGCAGACACAGTGGTTTCGAAGGCTTGGGTCCTTCCACCCCATGGTATGGCATGGTCACAGGGCAGGCTCCTTTTCTGTTCCGGGGTTGCTCACAAACAATCTTGGATTCCTCTTGCTAGTCAACATCTGTGTGAGTTTTATGAATATTACCACCACCAAGTCCCCCATCACAACCCCCACACAGCACTTCTTTCTACTGCACCCTCCAAACCTATCTTTTCTGCAGGGAGAGGAACAGGAAGCAACCTCAACAGCCGGAGACCTAGCTTCCCATGCTGAGCTAGTCCCCACTTCCCCTGTACTTCTTTTCCCGTGCTTTTAACTAGCCTTCCTAACTGGTGAGATAATTAACTCCTTGTCTCATCAACCCCCAGTCTGCTTAGGCAATTAAATACTCTCCTCCTCCATCAGGCTTTTTGGTGATGCTAGTTAATGCTTAAGTGACAAGCATGCTCATCTACTGGCTCGGTCATAAGCATATATTATCTTGCACAGTTCAGTATCTTGAAGAGTGGTGTAGGCAGGCCATGCTAAGTTAACTAGCATATCTTTCAGTAACAAACATACAGTCTACTCTACTATTTCTGCATATGATAGTGCCAGCCCAGCAAAACTTCTCAAAAAAAGCATCAGCAAATAAAGTAAATCATCCTTTGACATGTAGAAATCAGTGTCATACTGCTGCAATCGAATAATTCACTGCTGCAGTATCATACTCAGCACATCATTGGCCTTATGACCCCACTAAGTTAACAGGAAGCATACAATAGCAAAAACCATCATCAAGAACGCTAGCTCAATCTGGGAATGTTTTACATCCATCGGGGCTTTAGAAGAAACAGCAAGAGCCTGGAGTAGTGAACCTGATTCAGGATCTGAGATATGAAACTGAAGCTGTGAACCAAAGTCAGGTTATGTATTAAAGCAGATGTTTACAAGGTCACCTCTGAGTACATGAACTTGGAAAAGTTGTTGCTAGTGTATTAGGCACTATATAATTACTTAAATATAGTCCAAGGTATCAGGAACAAGAGGAGGTAACAAACAGATGCCATGAAATATGTAAGGTGGTGTGCAAGTTGTGTATTTTAATTTTTTGTCTTAGCCTAGTACTTCGCCTTAATTCTTTGCTCTGACAGGAGAGGGGGTAGCATAACTCCTGCTGCTGACTGGGCCATTCCTTAGGACAGGGGTTCTCAAACTTTGTGATACCATGACCCCCTAAAATGATAAATGAATTTGTGTGACCCCCCCATCCTCAGTGCCCCTTCTCACCAGACTCTGCCCTCCTGGGGTTCCTTCAAGGCGTTTGTGGTCCTCAATGCCCTCCCCACTGCAGGCTCCTTCCCCCCGTCTCTTTCTCTTCTGTGCCTCTTTTCCGCTCCGTGTCCCTTTGGTTCCTTCTCTCCTCTCCCTTCTCCTCTCCTCTCCTGTGTCTCCTCTGCCTCCTCCTCTGGCCCTCACATGCCCTTATTTACCTCCGGGTCCTCTGCCCCGACCCAATCCCACAGCCTGCTGCCTGAGGGACCCTGCCCTCTCCCAGCTGGGGAAGCGTTTGGTTGCCCGGCAACTGGGCCCCGGCCGGCTCCAGCCTCACTCTCCCACTGCCTTGCCTCCTCCTGCAGCTAAGCCACGCTCCTGGAATCTCATGGCCTCGGCCATGCTGCACAGCTTGCCGGCAGCTGCCTTCCGCCACCCTGCCGCTCTTCACAGCCTGGGGGAGAGGGGTCGCAAGTGAAAAACTGAATCCAGCTGTGACCCTTCTCTAAGGTGCTCATGACCCCCCTGGGGGTTGCAACCCACAGTTTGAGAAACGCTGCCTTGGGACATTCATGTGGCAGTGCACCTGTAACCATAGAGCCAGGCATGAGGACTGTGTCTTGAGAGCCATAAACCTGACTGAGTGCCTTTGCCACTAAACCATGCCTGTGGTCTTCCTTTATGAATAACACTGAAGTGTACTTCAAGGTCAGAAGCACTGAGCAGCCTAAATCGCACTACCAACACAACAACTAAACCAGCTGTCTTGTGCAAAGCAGGGAAAGCACACGGAACGAACATACAAACTTTTAACATTATGGAGATATACCTATCTCATAGAACTGGAATGGACCTTGAGAGGTCATTGAGTCCAGTCCCCTGCCCTCATGGTAGGACCAAGTACCATCCTTGGCAGATTTTGCCCCAGATCCCTAAATGGCCCCCTCAAGGATTGAACTCATAATACAAACCACCAAGCTATCCCTCCCCCCCAACATGCAGACCAACAGACAACGGGTGAGAGTAAAGCTGTGCCCAAATCCTGATTGCATGCATCAGTCTGAATCATTCCAGGCTTCAAAATAAACACAAGACTGGAGATGACAGAAGGCTTGATGCAGTGATTCAAGTCATGCGTTGCTTCTTTAGTCCAAACCAACTGGCGCTGTCTTGGGTTAAACCCCACAGTAGGTTGGCAAGGATACTAACATGGGGCATAGGAAACCCACCTATGTATTGAGATAGGCCAAAGAATGAACATAATCTACTTTGCTTAATGGGTAGAGTAGCAAAGCAACAACTTGCAGCTATTCAGGAATCATTTTCAAACCATCTTCTAATAGAAAATGTCCTAGAAACTCTATAGCAGTTTTTCAAAACTACATTTGGCTGCATCCAATTTTATTTCAGCTTGTTGGAAGTGGGCAAGTGCCTGATCCTGAAAAGCATTATGCTCAGGAAGGGTCTTAATAAAGATCAGAATGTCAATATGCACCTTGGATATTATCAAGGAGAGGAGAGACAACTCTCTGAAATACAGTGGGAGCATAAACTAAGCCAAAAAGAAGTCACTGCTAATAGTACCTCCCAGATAATGTGCTGAAAGTCAACAACAGCAGCAAACTTTCTGCCACAGATATTTGTCAATAACTTGATCATTAGGCCAACAGAGAGAAAATTCAGGATTCATTTAGCCAGCAATTCACCTCTTTGACATCTTCTTACTACATATTTTAGAAATGTGTGTCTGTGTCCGTCCATCTGGGATTCATTTGTTCAAGAACTCCTCTTAAATGTTAAGAGCTAGGATCACCATTGATATGCGCTTTCTCTTATAAATCACTTACAGCAAGGTCAGGGTTTGATTATGCCAAGACAATGGGATGTGCCTGGAATTTGATTGTTTTTCATAAAATAGAGGGGAGCCCATTTTTTGAGATGTATGCTACAAGTCTGAGTCAAGTCATAGCTCTATCATAAGGGTGCCAGCTCTAAGCTCATGTTTCCAATGTAGTTAGAAAGGTAGAAATAAGGTACATTATATGACACAAGCTTCTTTAACTCTTTGTAAATGATACACAAATTAACTCATGCAGTTTTTAAGACATTTAGGGGAGTAATGGAACATCTTAATAAAAATTTCTTGGTACAAAAACTCCCTAAAAACTAATGCACAGACCGACCTAGGTTCAGGAAGAAATGTCTTGGTACAAAAACTCCCTAAAAACGAATGCACAGACCGACCTAGGTTCAGGACTGGGTCGGAATTGACAGCATGAAGGATAGTAAGGAAGCCCCCCTTCCATAAGGTGAGGGGTGGTAACTAGGCAACAGGGGGTGGTAACCTGGTGCGTAAAGAAATGATGTAAGTTGTTTGTACCTGTCTATAAAAGGACACCGCAGAGGGTGCTCTCCGGCCGACCTTGGGGGGGACGCACTAGGCGCCTGAACGGCAGGTGTCACTGCCTAAACTTACAGAGTGCACAGTAGCTTAACTTTGACTAACTGCTGTTAATATTTGTTCTATGGCAATAGGCCTGCCCGGTGTTGGTACCTTGTCAACGCGGGCCATAGTGTCCAGTGGTGTAACACTGTACTGATCTCTGTTACCAACTGGTAGAGCTTCGCATTTGACAATAAACCTGCTCGACTGATTTCAAACCTTGCCTGCATCTGTCGTTTCTGGGGCCTCTCAGAGATCTCTTGTGTTGACCCAAGTGCACGGGGTCTAACACTCTAGATAAAGGGAGTACCCATTGTTACGCACACAGCCGAAAGTTTAACAACGGAGTAGAGGTCCTGTCAGGAGCGCGCCAGGACAACCCTGACCAGACGACGCTGACACTGACAGTCCAGACCACCGAAGGTACCGAGGTACGAAAACACCGAGGAGGGAGTTATACTATACAATGGCCACACGGAGGTAGTAAGAAGCCAGTCATAGGGACCAGGACAACTATAACTCCATTTTGCCAGAAGGGGGCAGGAGTGGAGATAGGGACAGCAATCTACTATATATTTCAGTGAGTCTGTCTGCTTGTGTGTGTGTCTCTCTGTCCCCAGCCAGGGGACATGCA